ATCTATATCCTCAATAGCTTTAAAGAGCCTTTTACAACTGGGTACAGACCACATTAACCTAAAAAATGGCACCAAACTAATAATTGTTTTGGTAACAATGGTTGTCAGAATTTATTTGTACTATCACCAATCAAAAAAATAAATCGGCATTTTTGCATGTAAGATTCCACGAAATCTATATGTTCTGTATATGAAACGAACTAGTACGTTTATGTGCGGACTCCTGCATTTTTGCTGAAGCTAACTTATATACAGGGGTGAGCGTCTGGTGAATCAACTGATATGTAGGCGCAAGTATTTTCCTCTTGTATCACTTACTCTTTTTGGACTTATGTCTATTGCAATGCAACCCATAAACGAGGAAGTAGAAATCAGTCTAAAATATTTTGTTTATCTTATTTATTCACAACTCATCGATATGAAACAGTAAATGAAAGTTCTTTTCTCAAAGTTACGGTAGTTGAATTAGCATTTCGAGCGTGTTATAATCCTATGTTATCCTATCCTAATGTTGGGTAAATAAATTGTTTAATTTCGACTAATTTGTCTATGATACTTGATTTTATTTTGTTTTGTTGACGTAGCTAATGCATTTTATGTTAATTTTGCTGAATAAACGACTTATGACTTATGACTTATGACTATTGGTGATTGGTGATTTATTTACAAGCAATTAGTATTGCCATTACCGTGCACTGCGTGTGCCAGTTTTCTAATGGATTTTTTTTAAATATTTACTTCGTATTCTGTGCGTAATAATGTTGGTTAAAACTTTTGAAGTATCAGACCTTAGTTTAACACCTAACACGAAAAACTATGCAAAGTTTCAATTAGGAATTACATTTGGTTTTTCTGGATTTTTTTTTGGGGGGGGGGGGTTACAATACATATTACCTGTGTTACGATGATACAACAACACAGTTGACAGTAGTCTTTATTTATTCCATGATGCTACTTCTGAAGTTACTTTTTTCGTTTACGATGATAATTGATATGAACATAAGGTATAGTTTATCTTGCTAGGACAGAATTTGTCGTTGTTTTCAGTTTGGCACGCTTAAAAGGTTTGTTAATGAAAGAAAACTTTATTTTACACCAGCACTTGCTGTCCCGACTTATTATTTAGTTAAAGACTTTACCCTCAAATTTCGGTGACATTAGAAAGGAATGTGAACTTCTAGGGAATGTAAAATATATTACGTATAATGAAAGGTGTAATACTGAGACGTAAGTTAAATGTTATGTAGCAAGACTTAATATTGAAATTTGAAATCCAGAATCAATTCAACGATACAACTTTACTCAATATAAAAAGTACACGTATAATCCTAAACATTATAGTTTATGATTAAAAATGTTGACCTTAAGTTGTTATACATTCGTAAGTACATTACCTAGCATGTCGTTAGTAAAGTAATTCACCTAATATTTTTATGTATAGTATTTTGTTCGAATTTTGTTTCTGTTAAAAATTAATTTCTCAAACCACCAAAGAAAATAGGCGTGAAGACATTTTAATGATATTTATTAAATATTTATATTTTTAGATCCTAGACACTATTTCATAACTTAAACGGTAATTGTATTTTATTATATGTAAATTAAGACCAAGTCATTGTACCCTTTTTAAATATGGTCTGTTATTAAATATCTTTCTGTTCAAACGTTTTGTCAAGAATTTATACCTGAATGTATAATTTTATGACACAAGTATTATCATTGAGAGTAAATACATGGATAGTTGAAAAGGGGAATGAAATGGTGGTTTGATAACCATCGGGTCCGGTTTGATCTTATTATAAAATATAGGTGTTATTTAGTAGTTCGAAATGTTACGTTAGTTTTCTATAGCTGAACAAAAGCAGAATGATTTCAATTTTGTAACCCTTTAACAGTTTACTGAGTGTTCAGAATTCTATAAAACGGGTAAATGATTGTCAAATACCTTAACATGTACTCTTTACCTGTATATTACTGTAGACAAGGTTATAGAACAATACACAAATAATTATCACTTATTACTGTGACTATCTTTAACATTTATAAACTGTTTATGTATGATGTGTTATCATTTTAAAAGGAAGGAAAAGGGGTCAATAAGTCTTTAAGCTATGAGGTTTTGTGAGTAACATAAAGTCTAAGAAATTGGTATTTTCAATAAATATAATGCTGCTTTACTTTACTTACTAACTTGATATAATGTATACTTTAATCATAATTTTACATACTTTTATTCATATATGTGTTTTGTAAAATGAAAAAAATATTTAGTTATTTTTAGAAATATTAAACAGTGGTAAAGCCCACTAAAGCCCAAATCGTTAATAGTAGAATTGTATATAAACTAAATAAATACTTTATTGATGAATATAATAGTCTGTATTTGAATTATTTCACTACTATATGTTTTGCAGGCTTGGTAAATCTTTTTGGTTAGATTTACAAGAAATGCAATATGAATTAGTAATTGAAGTAAAATATTGTAATGGTTTTACCAACTTCTTGAAACCAGTCCAATTTCCGGTGCATGTAGAATGTTTTGTTGGGAGCTGTTTGAGGAATGCGCATGAGCACGACGAAGAGGAACCGGTACCTGTAATGAACTTGTTATAGTCACCGTTGTACGTTCCACCATACCACTAAACGGACGCTTATGTTTGTAATTTGGTTGTGTAATATAGGATAATTTTAAGTACATACAAAATACGACACTTAGTTTTACCTATACAAACAAAATAAGATAAAATAGTGGAAATAATTCATGTTTAAGCTCTCATACCTTAGTATACCATAATACATGTATACTAAAGGTATCGACCGACATTAGTATATTTGTCTAAGTATTTTTACCTCCATAATTAGTCATAGCAAAAATGTGCTTAAACACTTTTTGGTAGAAAACTCCTTACTTATGACAATATTTTTTGGAGGCTATATTTTTTAGCTATTTACAAAATCCCTAATAATAGACCTTTAAAGCCCCCACCCTCTAAGCTCCATCCCCACAGGTCGGTACTTTTAGAATATTGTTTCAGTAACCTTTTCCTACAACAATTAATTGTGGCTTATAGCCTACATGAATTATTTCCCATATTTAATCTTTTTTTTACTTCGTTACCTGAACCACTTCATATTTTATCTGTTTATAAAATGTGCTACTGTAAATTTCTTTAAAATTAATTTTGTATAATATCAAAATCATTTCCACATGATACAGTTTTGAATAAATAAATTTTTGTTGCTGAAATATTCGTATCGGACTGAAGAACCATGAGATACATTTGTAAAAGTTCCATATTTACCTAAGAAAGAATAACTTTGTAGCAACACATAACCACATTTAACATGATGTACATAGACACATAGCCATAATTTATTATTTGTACAACCAATAGCTTATGTTAAATATAGGTTAGCTTACTCAATTTGCTTACTATTGAGCTGTAGCCCTATCTATTTAGCAAAATTATTTTACAAAGCGCCGCTTATTTATGTAGTTTAGGTTCAATGTATTTTTAATATTGAAGTGTTTTTGTATTGGTTACGGATGAAATGAAAACAATTGAAAATTTAAAATTCCCATGTTATTATTATGGAGAATAAATAAACTGTTGTAATTTGCTTGTTTATGTATTCATTTTGATCAAACTCGGCAAATCTATTTCATTTATACTAACATACCCTCCCTGTAGCAGCAAACCTAGAGACTCGTTAAACCTAATGTTATTGAAATAGATGTAATTGAAAATCAAAGCAGGTAAATGGAAATTCACTTAGTCTGCAGGTTTGCTGTGGCGGGGGTATTTTTAATGATAGTTTGTTTTTCTTTTCTATGCATTTGGTGCATTCTATGTTTTTGGTGACACGTTAAAAACTAATTACAGTAATTTTATTAAATTTAAATAGGTCACATTAAGTAGTATAATTAGGCAAAGCATTGAGTTAGCACTTATCATGTGATGAACAGTCCATCTCGATGGTTATATGAGACTGGGCCAAGAATTTTATAAATATATTTTTTTACATGGATATTAAAATTAAATGTAATAATTGTGTATTGAAACAAGCAAAGTTAGAGTCATGTGGCCCTTTCTTACATTTAACCTATGTTTTGAACGACAGTGCCATAACAACAGTGACTTTGGCACAATCGTTGACTCTCCTTACCTATATGTCGTGTGCCTATATGGTGTGAAGTCTCAATTCTTTAAAAGGGGTTTTTTTAAGGTGATAAGCTATTACTGTAGGTGGTACTCTGGGTGGCACTGCAAAACCGTAGATGGCACGGCAAGACCTACACTCTAGACCGATTTATTTACCACTTTGCTTCCATTTTGATGACTCCAGGATATAAAACACAATTTTTAGAAAAATGGTTTATGTATGTCCGTGAACGTGATAGCTCAAATAATTTTGGTACGACCTTATTAAATTTGACATCAATGTGTACAGCTTGATAAACTTGATTCAGTTCGCTAACTATCAGGATCGGGTATAGGAACGGCGTTTTATAGGGGTTTGAAGTTAAAAAAAATTGTTATATCTCATTTTCATAACAACCGTCGTACATTTTACAGGTAAAAAACAAATAATTGTGACCATTGAAGCTTTGTCATTACTACAAAGGATACTGAGATAATGAAAAATGTATATTATTGACAGAAATTTTCTACAATTGTGGTTTGCTTTAATGTTTATATTTTGAAAAAGATTGAAATATTTATTTATTTTATAGGTACCCATTTATTGGTAGCAAACCTAAGTATCCGTTAAACCGTATGTGATGAAAATAAGGTATAAATAAAATTTGTTTAAGGAATATTTGAGCAAAAATCCAATCAGTCAAACTAAAATTCACTTAGTTGCTGTGGTGGGGGTATTTTTCCAACCAGTGAATCGAAACGTTAATCCTCGATAATAATCACAATATAAACTCAATAAAAATCTGTGTGTTTATTTCAACAAAATGTTCTTAACAATGCCCAACAAAAGATACATACCAATATAAACAATCGTATATCCATTTTTTGAACTCACAGTGACACGGCTCATAACACACTAGCCCAACTCGCGCACTGTATACAACACGTCGATATCCATGGCAACACAACACACTGGCACAAACACTTCCACCGACCGCGGCCAAGCTTCTGCCACTGCTAGCTGCCCGCAAGTTACCGTCCTGGGGGGGGGGGGGGGGGGGAGGAAGAAAGTTGGCCGTGACCAAGAAACGAAGAAGAAATGCGTCAGTGCCACAACCACGTCCAGCGCTAGGGGACTTCGGTGTTACCGGGCGTTCAACTCTCTCTCGGAAGACTTCGTACCTTACACCTGCCTTGGGCGTAGCTCCACTTGGAGAAGTGGAGTAGATGAATGAGTGTGGGGGACCAAGGAGATCCACTTTCAAAAATTTAGTTCCGTTTAGTATGGTTTTGGGTTAGCTCGAGCCGGCTTATGTTGGGTTGGAGTAGCCCGATTTTGGCCGAGGAAAAATTTTTAAAGAGGATTAATATACAGCACATTTTGATTATTTTGACGGATCCTAAGTTTTTTATTTACACTAAATTGACTGCATGTTTAATTCATGTGGGTGAAAATTTGGATCTTCTGGGCGTACTGGGGTTTTGCAGTCAATAAAGTTTAAATTATATTATATCACAGACAATTGAATAAACACTTGTCTGTGATTACATTTAGTCTGAAATTTCCTGTGATCGCACAGACAATGACTGGATTTATTTAAGTAAATTTTTCAAAAAGATTTTCTTTACAGTTAACTTGACATTGATACGTGTTTTGATTTTATGTTACTATAAAAGCGTAGTAAATATACCTACATTCAGACAAAAATGATCAAAAATTCAGCTATAAACAGATCAAATTATTACATTTTTTAAAACTCTTACCATTTAGGTTAATATTCTTGTAGTATTAGCCCAAACCCGCGTTGTGAGGTTAAGTATAAGGTGAGGTTTGGTGACCTTTTTGACCTTGTACCCAAAGGTCAGCAGCTTTCCCGTGAAGCTCAACCAAATGCTAATGTCATGGGACACGAAGGCCCCACTCTCTCCGTGGTTTATTGCCCAAACTCGCACTCAGGGAAACGTAATTGATTTTCTACAGAGATAAGATGCAGATCTGGGAGAAATCAACCGTTTTGGAAGGAGTTTCTATATTTCAAGTGTGAGAAATAAAGGTGTATTTCAGGTGTTTGCTTCATATCTAAAATGTTTTTAACCAACAATAGTACCAAAAAAGAAATACGGTTTATTATTTTCTGTGGATTATTTTGACCGGTTAGATAAACGATTTCGGGTTACATGCTTCTCTACAACAAGTAAACAAATCAAACACAGGCATTAATTTTGTATGATTATGATGATAAAAATACCCGCTTTCTCACAGCCTTAATTGTTAGTATATATTTTGACAATATGAATCGATTGATCAATAGCTATTTCATGGCTGAACACAGAGAAAACAGCAATCAACTTGTTTGCTGTTGACTCCCAACAATAACCTGTTATCGAGTAACAATCGCTGGAAAAACTGGTTCATATGGCGTGACTCTATTGTTCCTTCAACATCAATCATATCAATCATCTTGATCTGTAAACAAACAATATCATCTAAGGAATCTTGAAGTTTTGAGTAGAATTTAAAATATCATTATTTTAAACAATTATAAAACGTAATAGTTCTTGGCGTATTTTTTTCCCTGGAATAATCTAAAAAAAAAATTACACAGGGATTATTGTAGGTACTGTAATAAGAGAAACCACAACACGATTTTTAGGTGTTCTACAGATTTAATGAAATTTGCTCCTCATAAGACATCATGAGGTGTCTTGAAGTATAGTTTTATCCACAAGAAATATTAGTTGTTTAGTTGTATCACGTATTATACGTTTTATTCTGTGTTAGATTTAGGATTGTGTTATTGAACAAGATGGGATAAAATGTGCAATAGAATTCTTAATATATGAGAAAGCTAAAAGGTTCCATTAGTTTATTGTATTATTTACTCATGTTGTAAGTAATACAAATTCACAGCAGCATTAAAGCACCGGCATTTTAAAATGACTGGTTTATTTAACAGTTGTGAGTATAAAACGAAAGAAAATGTCGGTTTAATAGTTAAACATGCTAAAAATTCCCTACTTACTTGACAATTAATGCGTAAAGATCCAAAAATGTATAATACAATATGCACTCATAGTAGAAGAGTGCTTTTACATTGTTATTGTTAAAACCATCAACATTAACCATATTATTAAATTGTGTTACTCTGGGGAGCGAGCTGATCTAGTGGTTAGTACGCGGGGCTTCGGTCCCTTAGGTCCCGGTTTCAAATCCCGCCAAATCACCAATGTATTTTATCTAAGTGATATTGCCGCAACCTCTAATTCTAGGCCTGAAGCAATGTGAAAAACAATCCCGGGCTTGTGCCTAGCGACCTAGGACAAACAGTATTATTAGCCACTCTTATTCAAAGCTCAGGCGATTGTAGTACAGCATAAGCTCGAATGTGTGCTAAAGATGAGTAATTACCTTCCGTGTACTACAAGGCTAATCGTGAGAATGACATTCTGCCTTGAACGACGAACGCCGCTGACACGTTTCTCACGGAGAAACACTACTAATGCTCTGCGCACCTTCCATCGACGTTAAACTACGCTACGATAATTTTCTTCTACGTATATACTTTTACACATTGTTACCGACTCTGTTTCGTTATATCTTTCACCACAAGTACTGTCTGGAAGCATGAGTTCTATGTGTTATTATTGTAGACAGCATAATAGTAGGTAAATACTCTTGCCACAGTAAAACTGCAGACCAAGCGAATTTCCATTTCCCTGATTGGTTTTTCGCCAAGATATCTCATTAAAAGTTTAATATTTATTCCATATTTAAACATGTTAGTTTGACTACTTACGAAAAGGTAATGAAGTGATTTTTGTAAAAAGTTAATTGTTAAAAAGTTAATATGAAATAAATATATTTCCAAATTGGATAAAAATATAATCATAACAAGCAAACTACAAAAGTTTACTTATTCTCCTACTTATTATCCTATAACATGAGAATTTACAGTTGGTTTTTTTCTCCTCAACCATTAAGCGCATGTATACTCAAATATACTAAATTGTTTGTTTTTTAAGCTCTCAAAAATTGCGCGGAAAAAATCAGCAAAATCTTTTGGTTAATAGTCAAAAATGGAAAACCCCAATTTTACCCTATACACCCCCAATAAGCCGCCTTTCCCATAGTCAGATCATTCTAGTTCATGATTTCGTGTGAGTAAATGTACGTGTGTGTACACGTTTGTACCAAATTTAATCAAAATCTGTTGATTTTTACTCGAGTAATCGCTAAGGTAAGCCCATTTTTCTCAAACACCAACCTTTTCCTTCTTCCAAACTGAGAGGTTAACTTTTTTAAACTATAGCTTATTTCTTGTCCAAATCAACTATATTTTAGTCGCACACCTTTTAGGAGACTCATAAGACTAAGTGCTTTTTGTGGACTCTTTGTCAATTGCTTGACCATATAGATGAAAAGTCTACCCAGATAGTTAGTTTCAGAAACTTCAGATGGCAGAGTTCAAGACAATGAAAAGCTAAGATCGTGACCTGCAGAGTCGTGCATGCCGATATATTGATGATGTGTACGCTTTTCTGTAGCTTTCAGGTCAAGCGTTGGACCTCACAATCCTTTGTTTGTATCGTGGGTAAGAGTCTACTTGCGGTAGAGAACAGCTGTGGTTAAGATACGCAGATCCTTAAGAGAGTCAATCAATAACACACAGCTGATAATTACAACATCACGTTGTATCACAATATACAGCAACAATAAAAACAGCTGATCCGATAAGTAACAGAAAATAATTTTTTCCTACAGTTACCTAACAATGTACATGTTCTCTCACTGATTTGAGAAAGCAAAGTGGCCAATTCGCTCATCAGTGAGACAATGTTAACATTGTCTCACTCTAATTACTTTGTCTCACTCCAGATTTGCAACGTGAAGGCACGAAATAGTGAGCGCGTAACATGCAGGCAACGTCGTATGCGCGCGAATTACGTTGGCCGCACTGGCTGTAAATCAGCTGGTCAGCTGTTGTACTGTTGTATTGTCACTTCAAATTAAATGTTATATTAAAAGTTCACTTCTGTGTAAAAATAGGTTATGTTTCTTCACCAATTTATTTATTTTATGGTAACTGTAGGAAAAGTATAATGTGCAACTCGAGTTCAAAGTACAATTGCCACACTCGAGAAACCATTCCTCACTCGCCTACGGCTCGTGAGTAAGGATTTCTCTCGAGTGAGTCAATCGCTCACTTTTCTCACTAGTTGCACAAATAACTAAAGGATTGCTAGAACACTTTAAAATCTCTAATGAAAAATCCTATACTCTAATACGAGCAATGTTTGCTTGTATGTATGTATGTATGCTTGCTTGCACAAAGATCTCGAAAACGGTTCCGACGATTTTCTTCAAATGTTGTAAATAGTTTAATTCTGGCCTAAAAACGAGTTTACTGCAGTTAGAACTGCCAACAAAAATCTAATTACGTAGGAAAAATGAAACTGAAAATCACATTTTTTTAACATTAGTCTTATGGGTTGCTAGGTAACCTTGTTGGCTGAATTAAATAACAAGGAAAAAGTAAACAAAAGACTTGAAGTTGTAGCATGTGTTCATAATAAGCCAACTACCCACAGTATACTAGCAAATTACAAATACAGTACAAAAGGAAAAACATCATTTAGCAAAGATTATACTGAAGATTACTCGATACATTGTAGTCAAGGGTAGCAGTGAGAAGTCTGGGATCTGTTTATGACGATTAGATAAGGGTATGGGGTATGGGTATGCTATGGGAAGGGAGGGAAACAGGTCCGTGACGTAGGAAGTGGTGAAGGAAGTAGTCAAGGCGAGCTGTCCGGAGTGTGGGAACTGTTTATGACGATTAGATAAAAGTATGGGCAATCCTAAAATGCTAAGGGAAGGGAGGGAAACAGGTCCGTGACGTAGGAAGTGGTAAAGGAAGTAGTCAAGGCGAGTAGTCCGGAGCGTGGGAACTGTTCATGACGATTAGATAAGGGTATGGGCAATCCTAAAATGCTATGGGAA